ATAATTTTTTAAATTATAAAACCACATTAAATCAGTAAATTTATAGAAGTTTTTTTCTCTCTTACTTTTATAAAAAAGAAATTAAATTCTTTTAAATTAAGCGTTTTTTCTCTAATTACGGAGATTCTTCTTCGGAACTCGGGAGATGATCCTTTAATACTGATCGTCTATACTGAAAATCTCCGGTCTTTCCTACCCTTCCCTACCAAATTTCTTATATTTTTCGATAATCTCTCGATCACGTCTTGATCGAGGGTCGCTCGTAAAAATTCCACTACCGTTCGTAGGTTACGGAAGCGGTTTTACGCCACCGATGTATTTCCGACTTACCGGCACCAATTGAGTCTAAAGTATTTTGATGGAAACGCGCCATAGTCATATTAGTTATCGCTGCTCGTATTCAATCACCGTGTCCCAGTTCTGCTAGAAATTTTCCGATTGCAGTAAAAAATCCAATGTAGGAAGATAGAATAATTCTACATGGTGCGTACATATAGATTTTCTCTTGCTCAAAGATTATTCAGCCTAAACGATTTAAATAAAAGTAATCCAAAGTGCTCAAAATAAAAAAAGAAGTTATTTCATACAATGTGAAACTAATGTAATTTTACTATACTTCGGAATTTAATAAATAATCTAACATAAAAATCCGGCTATACTTTAACAATATAAAGAACAGATGATCGAAGTATCATTATATGTAATTTTTAATATCATGACACTTGTGTCTTTTACATCCTCGATATTCATAAATTATTAAAGGATGTAAGTTTTGGCAATGACAGCGACGGAATTTAATAAATAATCTAACATAAAAATATTTCATTTATCTTATGTTTAATCTTTTAATAGAACATTGTAATTAGAAGAAAAAAAAAACAGATGAAAGATCCATTCTGAATAATTGATATTCATAAAGTTTTAAAAATATTTAGAGAGAGAAAAGATCTTTCTATCATTTTCACGAGCTTTTGCAGGCGCATAGAAGCACAAAGCATTATTAAATAAATAAAAAAATTTTATACTAGAAGTGCCAAGATATATATATTTTAAACTCTGGCGTATGTACGATTCAGTCAGCAAGAACGCATCGCGATGCACCATTATATTCAATTGAGAAAAGCGTAGCAATGCCGGAGTAAAGCGCCGGCAGAAGTTCGCAAAACGTAGGATAACTTCTGGGGCGAATTTTCTGAGTTTATACCCACCGGCTTTTCCGATAAAAGATGGATTTCAAAGGTGATAAATCTGCGCCCTAGCTGCATCTGGCGTTCATCGGCTAGGATCGTTTATCGATTTTATCCCCGTTTAGGTCAGAAATGACTCGCCATTACTAATATCTTATCCTCCCCCTCCCCCTCCTCCTCCTAAACTCGCTGATAAATCATATTCTCTCATTTCTTTCGTACGAACGCGCCTTCTTAATGAGCTCCGAGTTCGATGAAACGCTTCCTTCGAACAAACATGGCTATAAAAAGTGAATAATTTTCATACATATATAAGTTAATTGATATTTTTTATGTACATTAAAATCTGATAAATTTCACACAGAATGAAGAAATACGATATCAAAGAATTTTCATTATTATTATTACACAATATATTGTTACATCTGTGTCAGATCGAGCTACCGAGTGTTTGTTGCAAATGTGATAATCAACACTTCAAATATAAAATACATTATTATTATATTACTTCTTGATTATTATACAAATGCTTTTTGTTTATTATATTTAATTTCATATTTTTCAATTAATAAAATCCACTGTAATATTATTTGTTGTGTAATGTAAAAAATAATTTTTTTATGCAAAATATTACATGTAATAAGTTTGACACTTTTTTACTTGAAATCTCGGCGGACGTTAACAATTTTTTACGATTATTATAAGACGCAGTATCACCATTATTGCGTTTAATATTATAATTGCGTTGACAAGAGACAACGGAGGATAGTGATACGACAAAATAATCGGTAGGATGAGAACTTCAAGGTATTACGGAAATAATGCAGGATACATCGATTTCAAGTCCGGGAAAAATCGAGCGAAATTGAATTCGCCAGCGCGGAAAGCCAACTCAACTGAGCTTCAGTCGAGATATGAGCTTTCAGTGGGATAAGAAGCTTTTAGAAGGTAACACGAGAACACGGCGAAAGGCAACGTAAACAAACTTATATCTGCCCACGAAGGGATGTTTTCAGGGATGAGGATTCGACGTAGAACCGACTGAAAAATGACAACGTAATCCCGCAAGATCTCGACAAAAACGAATTTTGACAAACGTAGCATCGTATATATTTCTTTAAACTCGAATTTGATGGGTAAATAATAATCGTCCTGAAAATTTATATTCATTAAATAACAGTATATTTTAATCCCTTTTTTATTTTAATTTAAAATAAGAACTTTTTTAAATATCTTAATATAAATTTTTGAATTTTTAATACATTATTTAATATTATTTATATGTATATTTTATTTAGTTATCATTTATTTAAAATTTACGTTATTTTATTTTTTTTAACGTACATATATTATTAACCGAAGTTGAATTAAACTTGATATTTAAATACACATACATATACATAAATTTTTGATTTATATCAATGTGACATTATAGTAAGTCAGCGGGAAAACAAAATTGAAGGAATAAACCGTTATTTTATCAGCGATTTATTGAGAACAAGGAGACTGGAATTCGGTAATCCTATATATTATCAAGGTTCCGGGGTAAACAAAACTAGAATAAGAATTGCAAGCCGACAGTTCAGGCACGAAGTAAGTCATAAATCACAATATTCCATACTTAATATCGTCTTCGATTCACCAGGAAAATAGCGAGAATTATCTCGAAAGAAGAAAACGGAAAATTTTCTCGCCGATTCCTTCACGCAAAGTATCTCCGGCAAAAGAACATTTAACCATTTTCGTACTGGTAGAAATGTTTAAAATGTAACCAATCCATTCAGAAATTCGCTCGTTAACTGCTTTGATTTCTCCAATAAAACGTGCAAAAATAAAAACTAATCTATAAATTGCTTTTTGAAAGTAATTTTTATAGGATTGAATATATATGAATATTCATCGATAAATATACATATATTGAATGTGATGGAATTTTTTGAGAGGGAGTGAATTTTAATGAAAACTATACGATCCTATATGATAATATTCTTTATCTCTATTCTTTTTTCTCTACCTCCTGGCTATTTTTTTTTTTTTATTTCGAAACGTCCGGATCTACATCTGCGGATTTATTTTTTTTTTTCTTTTTCTTATGATGAAGTACTATCACGGGTGTGGACAGGAGACAACAACAATGAGTGCGTCATTCGTCATTGGTCGAAATACCCATCGCAAAATATCGATCATCCCACGATGGCGGAGATAAATGCGACCGCTGAGTATTATTTATGTATTGGCAGCGTAGCGGATTTATTTATTTATATTTTTTTTTGTTTACATAAATTCCACGCAGTAATGCATTGTCAAAATTTATAATAAATAAGTGACATTCAAGAATTTAGTATATCGCTTTATATGCTAAAAATTTTTTGATGGTTATAAATATTAGATAATATATTTTGCTTAAGGAAAACTAGTTTCTTTTCGTCGAAATTATGCAGTAATGATGAAATTAATATATACAAAATATTTGTACCTATATTTATATATGGGCACATGCGTAGGATATTTTCTTGTTCTCCCATGTATCGACTTACTTTTTCACACTGCGCGCTAGTAGAAAAGCGTCGGTGCAAGTGGTGTGAGTCGACGTGTGGTCAGACACGAGTGCAGAGCACAGAATTAGCCTAAGAGTGGCGCGCGACTATAATTCATGAGATCAATCGATAATAAAGCCGCGTCCATGCGAGAATGCGAACTGTTTGTCGCGTTTATCGCCCTTAAAGCCTATTTACACGGATTTACACGTACAAAGATATCAATCATTATCTATAGTGTTTTCATAGGATCAATCTTCATTGTCTTTAAACATTAATAGGTATCATAAATTTTGTTAAGCTTTTGGTACGTATCTCTCATAGAGTTATGCAAATATATGCATAAAATTATATATCTTATACATATATTTTATTAAAAAATATAAACGCGAAAAATAAAATATTCTTGAAAGATGTTAAATATTTATTTCTATATAACTTGCAATAAAAATTTATTTTATTTCTAATAATCTAATTTAACTAGTAATATTTCTCTAAACATTTAAATATAAAAACTCTTGTATTGAATTCATTAAAAAATTTTCCATGATCTATCTCTTAATTATTTTATGACGCGAAATTCTTTAAGAATAATAGAAACTGATTTAGGCGCTGTTCCTGTCTGATCATAAGCCGACTCTCTACTCACGTTGCCGCGAAACATGTGCTAACGTCATTGAAGCAGCAAGACGCGATTTTCTGGTTTCAGCGGAGGCAGGAATCGCGGCGGCAGCCGAGATGAAGCAACCGGAGGAGAGAACGGAGGAGGAGAAAATGGCGTTGCTGGGCAGACCGCGGCTGGGCGAGGTATCCCGGGCTCAGATCAGGATCAAAGAGTCCAAAGAGTTCAAGAATACAGTGGATAAGCTCGTTCAGCGAGCAAACGCCTCCATAATACTCGGTGAGTTTTCATCTTAAACCTTTTTCTCGAGGGACAAGATACCGGTATAAGATACGAAGATTCCGTAGACGCTGAGAGTATTAGCTACTTATTTAGAGAGAGAAAGAAAGAAAGAATAAAAGGAAAAATCTGTTATAATTCGAAAGAATCAGATTTAAAGATTTAAACCGTTAGATGCAAAGCTTATCTCATTTTTGTAATATCGCATGATAAAGAAATTTTATTCTGCAACGTTATGAATTTTATTTATCAAAGCAACGAATAAAAGTCTGTAATTTTAATTTTTAAGCGTCCTCTTCTTTTTAATATTTCTGTCCTCCACTCCCATAGGAAGAATTCTTTTAACTTGTAACGTTCTCGTGTTTACAAGAGAAGATGTAGTTTATAGTTATATAAAACGCACGAAATCTTTCACGTCTCCGGAGGATCTTTTTTCTCTCTCTCTCTTTTTTCTCACCAACTATCGTAAATTTATTATTGAACGGTACAGAAGCATCTAAGCGAACTTAACCTAACCCTTCCCAATGGAGGATAAAATGCGCATCGCGGGACTCGCGAACATCTAGATTGGAGCTCTTCAGAAATGCAACCCCGAGGAATGCGGCGTGTTATGCAGGGGGGCTGCTCGTGAAATTCAAGACTCCCCGGACGCCATATGCATGATTCTCACGTTTCTGCATTTGCTGCATCCTCCGCGCCATCCCCTTTTGTTGCCGCGCCCTTGCTATGCGGCCGTTTCATGTTCCGTCGTACTTCACTTTTCGCATTACTTCATATTCCATGCAATTCTTTTTCTATTCTGCGTCGCGCCAGACGCGCACGAGTTGACGCGGCAACGTAAAAATTTAATATTAATTGTAAATGTGCGTTCGAATATATCATACAATCGTTCTTTTCAGCTATGCACGTCGTGCTTTAGAGAAAGTGATAAATTATTAATTGATTTATAAATTGTGAAACCATTCAAATTGAAATAATTATTATTTAAATAATTTCCGCAACTATTTTCCGCGATCAAAAACACGAAATAAAATCTCTCGCAAACAACGCCATTGTCACCTCTCGTACTATGAATACCGTAAATTTCCAATGGAAGCCTCGAAAATGACATTCTGTGTCGGATTCACTTTCGTTATCGATTCCCAACACAAAAGACAATAGAAAGCACGAATCTCTCTTTGCAGCTATCAGTTTCACCGAGAAGTCTGCTTTGTTCGTTTCCTTCTCTTGCGCAATTTTAGAGGCCTTCCTTTTCCTCATGTTAGGAAACTGTTCCATGTGCTTTTCGTTCCTTGAAGGCTTCCTCTCCGGAAACCTTCTCCTCGGCGAGAACTCCGAATCGAGAAATCGCACGTGCAGAATGCGGTGGCAACGTTTTATATCAAGATTTTTAAAAATATTTCTCTTTTTTCTCCTTCATTCTTCTCTTGAGAACCTTGGAATGCAAGTCCTTTGCATCCATTTCCATTCTCTTCGAATCATTTTTATTACATTTTTTTCCTCGTAAATAATTGTGTCGCGCTACACAATAATGGCTATTTAAAAGAATAGCTTTCCATATTACGTAGAAATTGATTTGCCGTCAGCGAAACAATTTCAAGAGCTTTTATCGTAATTTTACGACAAAATTATAAATATTGGTGAAACATTCAAAGAAAAGAATAATAATTAAAATATATAATAGACGCGAGAAATTTCAACACTTGTCACATGTCCAAGTCTCTCTCAACATTTGAATAAATACAAGTGTAAATAAATAATTATTCATACACAGATATTCAGATAAAATATTTAAGTAAAAATATCTCAAACGCATGTTTGTTATATATACTATGATAAATCGAATAAAATTAAACGTTGATAATATCTGTTTTTTTTTTGTATGTGTGTGTATGAAAATGGAGTCGACTGAGACGCGGAAAATATCGTTTTGCTCTATTATAGTGCGCTTTTCTTTGTTCGGTTTTCCTTTCTGCATTTTCTGCCTTCGTTCACTTTGTGAAGTGGAATCGCTCAAAGCATTTTCGACTGTTACCCTCGATAAAACGCTTCATTCACTCATTCGATATACTCATAGGTTTGAGTATATATATAAAATTAGTTCACACATTTTATCAGTACATTCAGTATTGTCTTTTCTGAGAAAAAGAAAATTGATTTTTTCTGCTGATTTTTGTATAATAATAAACAGAAGTTTTCATAACATTACTAAATAATTTTCCAATATATTGTTTAATTTTATTAATTTTCCAAATATTGTTTCATTATTTCAAGAATTAATTAATCTTTTTATGAAATTGTTATAAAAATCTAAGATCTTAAAAAAAAATTAAGAGAATTAGTAATTATTTAAATATCATCATCTTTCTCTCTCTTTCCTTCTTTTTCTGATATACGAATTCTAAAATACATTTTCAGGCACAAGCTCTTGGAAGGAACAATTTACGGAAGCGCTTACCGTCAGCGGGGGCGATGAAGACGAGGAGGGTGGTCAGCCCTCTTCACCATCGGCGATGGATTATCTCATGCATTCGCTCACCATCTTCTGGAAGGTTCTCTTCGCCTTTGTCCCGCCTACCGGTAAATAGCAATCTTTGTAGAAGAACAATGTTTTTTTAATTCTATAGCATATTTTAAATTATTAAGAAATATTTCTGAAATAGATCAAACCTTAGTAAAGTACATTTCTACTCGTAATTAGGATAAAAAGAAGTCGTATGCGGATATGAAAAAAGGAAATTTTTCTTTCAGAAATGTTCGCATTTATTTATTAATAAATTGGAAATATGTGTGTGTGTATACATATATATGAAAATTCTTACTGCGATGCCTCATGGCAAGATTTAGGGCAGTAAAGTACGTGTTCGCTATCGCTAAGCAGTTTCATAAAATCGATAAACGTTATGCGATGCGAAAAGATGTTTTTAGCATGCCCTCGAGGTAATAATTCGCTCGCAAATGCGAGTGGTGGCCGCAATCTTACGTGAAAACGACGTCGACAGACACGAAATTGCAATCGGCTTTGACGCGATGGAAGGTAAAGTGAATTTCGATCAAAACGCATCTCATCGGTGTTTATGATGGCGCAATCTGCGGAAAGCGAAGAGGGAGGAGAACTGAATCTGGTCTTTTATGTGCGGACTTTGATCTGATTTTCTTAATATCTCTCCGCATATATATAAAAAATTGATTATAAATTATTTAATTGATTAATAATTTAAAATATAACTCAATATATTTCTCTGAGAAAGTAACTATACGATTTTAAATTTAATGTATCTACACACAGACACAAGTTTTTTAACAGTTAGATTTTTTAACACGGTTTTTTTATGAATACATAAAAAATATAGTACTTTAGAAGAAAAATGTATCAACTTTAAGTAAAAAAGCTCTTATAGTTCTTTCTCTTCTAGTTTGTAAAGGGCATGAGAAAGAATTCTTATTGTTCCTGTCATTTTATTTCATAGATTTTTCTTGGATTTTTCCCAAGCGCTTTTCGCTTCTCAGTTTCGTTTAATTCGACTTTTCTTTAATTTCCGACTTTCCCTTTGTTTTCTCTTCTTTTTTTTTGAGCTACGAAAGGGTTTGTCTGCACCCCTTTAGTCACGGCGTTGCTTCCATCGGGTGGAAGAAAACGAGGAAAGATGGCGGGGAGGGGATAAAGGGATGAGGGGAAGACGTGTTTTATTTCAGCAAGCACAATCGCGAAAGCCTGC